ACTTCTGCACCATGTGAGCTAATGGAGACAGGCTACTGAAGACTGACAACGCCATGCAGTCTGCAATGAGAGTAATTTTGCCAGGACAGCAGCATTAGCCTGCTCTTTTTTTATTTCCAACTGTCGAGGGATCTTTAAAGTGCACAGCCTGTAGCATACAGGGCCTCGACTTACATACTTTTATGAAAACTCGCAAACAATTTTTGAGTGTCAGTGATCCATGTCAATTGAAAATTTAATAGCTATTTAAATTTTTTTCATAGTTCTTACCAATATTTCTTTCATATTAAAGATGAATTTTTCTAGCTGTGAATGTAAAGAATTCAATAGCCCCTCTCTTTGTTCATCTTGTCCCTTTAAACATGATAATACCAATGACAGAAATGGTTGATGACCTAATAAGGATTTACTGAAATAAAAAGATCAATGGTTAAAGATGCTTCCCAAAACGAAGAAATGAAATGAAATGAAGTTTAAATAGAATTTTACCTAACAAATAGTTCAATTAATGTACCATTTTCTGATTTTTAAACACACTGCATGAGCCCAGTGGCGTAGCAGGAATTTCATTGACGGTGGGGGGCATCCGAGAGCTTGATATACCTCTGCAGATTTCAGGGGGCACTAGCTGGTGGAGAGGTCACTTTCTAATGTAGAAAGCCGCAAGTACATCTAATACGATTTTGAAAGTGAAAGTAGAATACATTTTTCATTTTTTATGGTCGAAGGGGTGGCTATGGCCCAAAAATTACTGTCTAAATACACCACTGCATGAGCCTATTCCTTTTTATTTTTGAACATGCTCAACATGTAGCACAAGGGGCCTTGGTTAATTGTCCCATCTGTACAACTAGACGCTTTTTCATGTTAGTTTCTCTGACCTGGATATCAAGGGGGACAAAAAGTAACACCTGATCCCATTTGCAGCTGCTTTGTAGAGTTCACATATCCAGTGATGTTTCATTGGTATATAAAAATGTTGAAATTTTTCACATTACCTTTTTTGATTTTTTTCTTTATCAAATTTTGATTTGGAGACTAGATTGTTGCCACTTTCTAAAACCTGACCAGCTGATTTTAACACCCGACCCTGTACGTTAGCTGATAGTTTAGATATTAATGGTGCTACTAGCCAAATACTATCATCACTGTCAGACCTAGTTAAATCAAAAATAGAACAAAAATTATTATTATAATCTGATAATGCTAGAGGCAGAGGAAGAAATGATATCTTCTAAATTTGATTCAATAATTCCTGAAAATAATGGTGTTTTATGTAAGTCTACTTGCCATCTAATTAACATTATATGAAAGTATAGTAGTTTCATGAATCTATACATGTAAAAAGGACATTTTTGATATTACCATTTGCTACTACTGTAAAAAAATCATGAGTTGAATTATTCTTCCTGGCAGGGATCACATTTATTATAGATAAATAAGACAATTTTATGGATAGATAGTTCTAGAAGATTTATTTATTTATTCATTTATCAGGAATATAATTATTAATTATTAATTATTAAAATATTCTAGAAGTATCCATCCATAAAATTGTCTTATTTTAAAATCTTCTAGAACTATCTATCCATAAAATTGTCCTATTTATCTATAACCTGTGCTTCTAATATGCCTTTAAAAGATTATTTATTATAGTGATATAGATTCACTTGTGGGCCAAACCACATGCACATTTTATATGAGCATTATATTCACAATTATACAGTATATGAAGCAGTCATTACTAAGAGACACCACATGAGTTAATAAACATCAGAGTTTAATATAACATATTCATTGATCATATTCAATAGGAAATCTATGATAAAAAAAGATGGCTACAGCCTAAGTAAAGTCCTGTGCCTGTGCTTTTGTAACTTTGCCATTAGTACAAAGTTAATACCTTAACTCCCTAAGTGATATTTGGATGCTTCTAGTATGAGCTTATTCCAATTTCATGATCATAATAATTTTGATGATTTAAAAGATAACAATTTATTTTCAGGTACTTAAATATGGGTTTCCTTATTTTTTTAGTGTCAAATTAAGCAAACTATTTGATTAATTGGTGTTTCTAATGAATTATCATGTATTCCTAATCATATCATTATGTTCTTATTGCATATAATATAGATTTTTAACCAATTCTAAATGTCCATGTATATACAGTCTGGATAAACAAAAAATAATTTTTGACCTTTCTTGATCCGTCACTAATTGGAATTCTGCTGGTAATTCTCTTCTTATTTAGCTAATCATGAATAAATTATGGATATGTGAGAAAAATTGGTATTTTTCCAAGTCATTGGAACACCTCAACTTTCTATTCATATAAGTATTAGCATTTTCATTTTCATACATGAAATAAGGGAACCCATCTTTAATGTTCAAACGTTTGATATGTACTTTTTATGTTGGGTTGGTGTTGAACTATTGGTTGATTTATTACTCTCTGTCTGTTGATGAAACAGGTCTATTGTTCCCTTAGCAAATATATCTAATAAGCTATTCTTTTCCTACAATGTAAATATCCATATTTTAGTTAGCAAAACTCACAGACAGTCATTTCAATGTGTATTTATCAGTATTCACCCATTCGTCAACAGATTAATATGATTCCCACCTGTTAGCTAATCAGTTCTGAGGTAGTTATTCTACCTCTGCCAAAGCTGTTTTAATTTAGGTTTTCAATATTCTTGATGAGAATCAATGAATGAATAATACTTACTGCTACTGATGTTGATTGTTTAAACATAAACTGTAACTCAAGCCAACTGACACGTAATGACCATTTGTCTAATGTCTACAATGAGAAAACCAAAATTGATAGTACTTCTTTCCACATCGTGTCCAAACCACACGCCTATTCGTCATACGTCCTCCTAGCTGTGGTAACACAAGTATTCATAGATAAATATTGTCCAATTAAAATTGGCCCTACTGTATTGGTAGCAAATTTAAGCCAATCAAAACAAACCACTCGTTATGACATTTTGTTTGCGAACGTAAACAAAACGAAAACAGCATGCCATTACATATTTTGATGAATATGTACGGTACAGAATTGAGTAAGATTTTGAGTGGAAAGAATGTGTTCTTATCTCTTCAAATGGGCAGCGGCAAAGCGATGTTGTGTTTTATTTACATGACCTCATTTCTGTTACCGATCTCTTTTCCACGCCCCCAAAACGAAGTGTAGTGGGATTAGTTTAATACAGGTTAATGTCAAAACCCTTATTCATGATACGATGTTCTTTCCAGTACATTTGAAGTAATTATGTATCATAGTAACACGCAAATTCTTCATGCATATTTCTTACCAGCAACAACTGTACTTAAAATTCATTTAACTTAAAAATCAAAATTTAAATGGCTCAATATATCATTAAATAATGAATAATGAGAGGCCAAATTATTATGAAATAATGGTTATAAATACCTGTAATATTCTAATTATATTAGATTTATTATCTGTTTCTGTACCATCATATTGATTAGGTACACCAGTAGGATAACATATCATCTGTAACAACTGATGGGCCTGTAATAAACAATAGTGTTTTGATATACATGTTCTGATATTTGAGGATGGACTGTAGCTCAATCATATAGGGTGTTGGAATCTTGACATCATTTTCTAGGTCAATCAACCAATGGTGATCTCTGTTGGCATAAACTATTATGACACCTTTATGCCGTAAATAGAAATTTTCTCTGATATTTGAGGATGGACTGTTGCTCAATCATACGGAGTGTTTGAATCTTGACATCATTTGCTTGGTTATGTCAAACAAATCTGGTCTAAAGTTCAAAAATCTGTTGACATGACCTTGATTATGTCAATGATTATGACATTTTTATGCCATAAATTTGAAAATTACTATTATCCGAGCTATCAAGGATGTCACCTTTAAATGACAGCATGTTGATCTTAAATCTTCTGAACTAAACTGTTGTAGATCACAACTGATAGACCTATCGTGATAACTACAAATTTCTTGGGTAATATTGTGCAATAATGGTAGTGAGGCAACTGGATGGGTATGCTTGCTCTTATAAGACACCTGATACCACTTAACATATGAAATATTTCCTCATTTATGATTGATATACTTCCTCATGTGAAAAGTTCAATAGCTGGTACCAATGTATTGCCAGACATTTTTGGGGATTTCAGATTTCGTATGGCAGTGAGATTGTTAGTTCTAGGGTTTACTTATTCCATAAATGTATGGAACTATCAGGAATACAGAATATCAAAAATATATCCATGGTACCTGTTTAGGTGATAGTAGATTATCTAACAACATGTCTTCATGAAACAAGCTATATTCAGGTTCTTTTAAAAACTTCTCTCTGACCCATTCCTGGCTACACATTTCACGTAGAGAATACTTAGCGAACTCACTTAATCCTGCTCTTTCTACACCACTGTTTTTACTAGTCATAGATGATCTGTTAATACACAAAAAATACAGGTTTTTGCAGCAATTCACAATTCAATTTAAAGGAGATGTTCTAGATTTGTATTTGACACAAATAAAGTCTGACTTACATCAAAATTAAAGGCTTTGACTAACAAAAAGGTTAATAAGTTTGACTTACATCAAAGTCAATAAGTTTGACTTACATCATTGTCAATAAGTTTGGCTTACATCAAAGTCAATAAGTCTTACTTACATTCAAGTCGATAAGTCAATAAGTCTGATTTACATCAAAGTCAATAAGTTTGACTTACATCAAAGTCAATTAGTTTGACTTACATCAAAGTCAATAAATTTGACTTACATCAATGTCAATAAGTTTTACTTACATCAAAGTCAGCAAGTCAATAAGTATGACTTCCATCAAAGACAGTCAGTAAAAAGTTTGACTTACATCAAAAGCAATAAGTCTGACTTACCCAAGTAGATTCAGATCTATTTCATCATCATCTAATTGTTGTAATAAATTAAATATATCTCCAGATTTATCTTTCGTATTACTACTGGTGTTCTTAGCTTTATAATCATCATCATTGTATGAATCACCTTTAATATAACACATTATGATTAAATATACTGCACAATATCTTTCACTTTCTCAGCTGATAGAACTCAATTTCAACTGAAAGGATGTTAAGGTTCACTGGCATATTACAGAATCTGATAAGATCTCAGCAAAAAGCTCAAAAAAAAAAGACACTCATGGCAACTGGCAGAAAATGTCTCTAGTTACTCTCAAAGGAGTCTGCCAGTTGCAAGATCTTCTTAAAACCACCTTTACTGACTGTTTCTTTAAGAGAAACAAACTAAGGCTATGTGAACTCTCGACTTGACAAAATCAGTTTCAGATTAACCATCACAACTTGACATAAAATGACTAAATTAGTAAAGTTAGACTAACCTAACATTAAGATAGCTTTTAAAACAGCTAATACACCACCAACAGTGATACTATCATGAGCTGCTTCTAATAGATGACAATCTGCTGATGATTTGATAAGTGGTGCATTCCGACTACCAGATGACAGACCTGGTTGGGGTTGTGTTAAATGAGATGTCTTAAAGAGACGTAATAATAAATGACACGTCAGTCTAGCTCCAGATTCTGCATCTTGATCTCCACCAGCTGAAAAATACAAAATCATATAAAATTTGAAATTGCTTTTTTCTTTGCTGACCGAGTGGTACAATGGCGCTGTAGTATCAGTACAACTGACAGCACTTTCAGGGCAAAGCAGGATGGAAACAAGAACCTTTTTTACATGGATACCAACTTTAGTTCACAAGAATCCTTTCTACCATCTAGTCCTTGGCATTGATCTTTCCCAGATTATCCATACCCATTTACAGCTCAGCCTTAGCCTACAGACTGACCATGATTAGCACCCAACACCATCACTTGTACGATAAAACCAAGCAAATATTCATGTAAATATTCTTTTTGACTGTGCAACAGCTTGTCCAAATGGAAACAATGGAATAAGCAAAGGCAACCAACACAGCCACATTTGTGTAGAAAAAGAAATTAATGGAATTTTACGTCCTACTCTTCTGCACCATGTGGGCTAATGAACTCCATGAATTGTGCCAGCTACATTAGCTTTCTCTTTTTGTCGATTTCCTTCTGTCAAGGGTATCTTAATTGGGCACATCCTGTAGCACACAGGGCCTTGAGCAGTTTATTATCTCATCCAAACGACTAGACACTTTTTCCACGTCAGACCCTACGACCTGCATCACTGACAAGGTGGAAACCAGGTTGAAAAATCCGAAGGTATTATACCGACTTTAAGGTTAGCCACATCTGTGCAGAGATAGTTTATTGGTGGTAAAGGTGTACCAAAAATATTCTATAGATTACCTGAAGGACAAGCTGACATCAATGAAGGTAGAGCTACATGGATAACAAAATCTTGTAGAGAAAAACAATGTCTAGCTATCAATATAGCTGTAAATACTGATAGTGAATCATGTATAGACATATCACTCACCTAAAATAAAGAATGAAATGAAATGAAACCAACAATCAATGAATAAATGTCCAGAGTGCTCAAGGATATACCACTTTCTTTTTGGCCATTTTTACAACTTCTACTTCCATGGTATCAAATCTAACATTTTTTCTTATGTTTTGCAAGTTACAGATTTTATCTAACAAATTTCTGATTTTGGATCCATACTTCTTCAATAATGGCAAAAAGTGACAAAACTTCTGATTACTGCATATTCACGTAAGGCCCGTCATTTTGTATTCGATCACTAAGGTGTTATATTTTGTGTTTACATACATCTATTTGAGTTAAAACATCTATAAAACCACAACTGTTATTAGATGAACAGCATAAAGCCTTCAATACACCTAACCATTCTGAACTTAAAGCATTACATCTAGCAGTAAACTCAGCACACAATATAGCAATGTCATTTAACCTGAAAAACAAAACATTGTGTCATTATACTTTAACCATTCCTTTCCTTTTTTTAGAATTTAAATCTGGCATTTGGTTCTCCTGCAATCTAATAAAAAGTTTAGTGCATTACATCTAGCAGTAAACTCAGCACACGATACAGCAATGTCATTTAACCTGAAAAACAAAACATGGTTTCATTATACTCTAGCCATTCATATCCCGTTTCAAAATCAAAATCTGACATTTGGTTCTCTTGCAATTCATAACATAAAGTTTGTTTCATGGAACATTTTATCAGATCTGAAATATGAATTTGTTATCATGCAATTCAATAAAAATGTTCAATGAAACAAACTAAATTATGTTATTGAATTGCAGAAGAAGCAATTGTCAGATTTCAATTCTGAAAAGGGATAAAGAATCAAAAAATAAATCTGGTTTAAGAGGGGTGCTTCAGCTAAGTAAGTGAGCTCACTGAACAGGAGATATAAGAGTTATAAATATTTACTGACCTTTCAGGCTGTTGGGTACCACAAATATTTAAAGTAGCATTACAAACAAAACTATATAGATTTAATGAGTTTTCTTGAACTTGACGAACGAACTGTTGATCAATTTGTCCCTTACTGAAATAAAATCAGATTATATAACAAAAAGTAGAATTGGTATTTCAATCAGATGAAATGAAATCATATATTTTAATGAGATACAGAATCTGCTTTTTAAATATGAAATGAAATGATATCAGAAAATGAAATACAGAATTGGTATTTTAATCAGATGTGAAAGTGAAATGAAATCATATCAGAAAATGAAATACAGAATCTGCTTTTTAAAACCAAATGAAATGATATCAGAAAATGAAATACAGAATTGGTATTTTAATCAGATGTGAAAGTGAAATGAAATCATATCAGAAAATGAAATACAGAATTGGTATTTTAATCAGATGTGAAAGTGAAATGAAATGATATCAGAAAATGAAATACAGAATTGGTATTTTAATCAGATGTGAAAGTGAAATGAAATGTTATCATAAAATGTAATATAGAATCTGCTTTTTAAAACCAAATGAAATGATATCACAAAATGAAATTTAGAATCCGCTTTTTAAAACAGAAATGAAATGATATCACAAAATGAAATTTAGAATCCGCTTTTTAAAACCCAAATGAAATGAAACAACATCACAAAATGAAATACAGAATCTGCATTCTAAATATGAAATGAAATGATATCAGAAAAATTTGCATCTTAATCAGAAACAAAAAGAAATAATAAACAAAGTGTGAAACAGAAAAATTGATAATTTAAACAGAAAATAAAATGAAATGATAACACAAAATGAAATCTACATTGAACCAAAAGTACATAACACAGGCATTATAGAACCTACATGTACATTTCAATCAGAAATTACTAGTATGTATGCAAAGAGAACTGAAATGATATAAAATAGTTGACTTACCAGCCAGTGATAACATCTATCATAAAGGAAGGATCCCATCTCAGATTAGAAGAGGAGGCATTCACTGTGGCATATAGAGTATTCTTCATTTTGTTATAGGGTGCATTAAACATCTCTGAATATTTATTCTATAAGATATAGCAAATAGTAGACTTAAACAGACAAAGTCATCAAAACAGTTGATGAAAAATAAACCAAATAATGATTCAAAGCTGCAAAACAAATCACGAAAGCTAAATAAACACATTGGCCATATCATTATGTTCTTATTGCATATAATTAAGAGTTTTAACCAATAGGAAATGTATATGTATGTATAGTCTGGATAACCAAAAAAAGACTTTTTGACCTTTCTTGATCAGTCACTCATTGGAATTCTGCTGGTAATTCTCTTCTAATTTAGCTAATTATGAATTAATTATAGACATGTGAGACAAACTAGTATTTTTCCAAGTCATTAGATCACCTCTACTTTATATTCATATAAGTATTAGCATTTTCATTTTCATAAATAAAAATAAGGGAACCCATCTTTAATGGTAGCTATGTATTTAAAACAGGTATACACTTTGCTAGAGAAAAAATGACTAAGCCTACCTTTAGATATATATTACAGGAATAAGTGTCACATAGATAGGCCAGCATACATCTAGATGGTGAGGTACAATCAGCAGGATTTGATACATCTAATAACCTCATAACACCAATTAATCTGTAGGATACAGAGGGTTCAAATTTGTAAATTCATTATACAAAGGAATCCAATATGGCCGATCCATGAATATGGTTTAGATTAAAGTGATACTACGTCTTAGAATTAACATAAAATTAAAGAATTTTAAACTTGGCCAATAAGAGCCAGTAGATATACCTGGTGTCATAAATAACATAACAGGATCCTTATATAATCCGATAAATCCAAAAAACTTAGTAATTATCTATAAATATGCAATTAACCATTGAAAAACACTTAATATTAAGATTAAGCATTTTTCAATAATAACTTAGTTTTATGCATTTTCCAGATTCTACAGGGATTCTGTTGTAACTTTATGACACCAGATAAGTTCACTGATGAATATATACTCATATTGACCATTCTTGAGAACTTAAATTTTATGTTCATTCTAAGACGTAGTATCACTTTAAGCTAAAATTTGAAATGAAGGCAAGTAATGCAGCGTTACTGGGTTTTTGAAGTTCACAAATACAAAAATCAACTTACCCTTCAAAGGCCTCTGCTGTTTGTTCTTGTGAAACTAACATATAAGAATTGTAATTTCTTAAAACACTAACAATACATAATCCTAGTGTCATAGTATAACTACTGACTAATGTTGATTCTTTTATCTTCAACTGAGTTACTACTTCACATAACTGATTCAATAACTGAAATAAATCAAATTTCATATTGATAAGTCTTGTGAACTCTCTAGAAGACATGCAGAGTTGACACACCCAGATCAAGTGATATCAAGTGATATTCAACTGAGTTACTACTTCACATAACTGATTCAATAACTGAAATACATGAACTTATATTAATAATAGCCTTGTGAACTCTCTAGAAGAGATGCAGAGTTGACACACCAAGATCAAGTGATATCAAGTGATCAATTTTTACGAGGATGGGTAAATTATGGGAATAACTGATCAATAACTGAAATACAAAATCATTAATAACAGTCTTGTGAACTCTCTAGAAGAGATGCAGAGTTGACACACCCTGATCAAGTAATATCAAGTGCTTGATTTTCACAAGGATGGGTAAATAACTGAAATTCAAAATCATTAATAACAGTCTTGTGAACTCTCTAAAAGAGATGCTGAGTTGACACACCATGGCAAAGAGTTACCAGGTTTCTCAAAGCTAAGAAAACAAAAAATAAACAACCATTTTTACAAGAATTCTGTCGTCTGGTCCTTGGCCAAATCACTTGGCAATGTCTATTCCTGTACCACAATAATGATTTCAGCTCATAAGACATGCTGACCGAAATTAGAACCCACAACCACCATTTGTTTCAAGATGACTTCAAGATAAAATCAACAGATATTGTTAGAGTAATCTAATCTGATCAAATTGTAAGGAAACTGTATGCCAGGTTTTCATTCTGCAATAAGAGAAGGAAGAAAAGGAAGCTTCAATTCAACTGTATAAAATTTCTTACTTTTACAATAAAATCGATGAGACCATTTATATTCATAGCGTGTTCCATCATATCAAATAAATACGCCACATGTTCCACTTTAGCTAAATAACTGGAATTGCCTTCAATAAAACTGATCATTTGTTCGAGAACGGTACTGACGCACTGGTTGGTCACAGCATGCTGATCAAAATACGACAGCTTCTTGAATTTCTGGAAGATGGCTTCTAAATTAGGTAACGATGGTGCTTGGCCAGTGTAAGCTCCTTCACCTTCTTTTTCTTTCTTCTTTCTGACCTTCCCCAGGTCACCACTGTTGATGTCAATGGAATTCCTCTTCCCATAGAGTCTCAGGACTTCCTTGGAAATCTTCTTTTGGAAATGTCGAGCTTCATCTCTAGCCTTGCCCACGCCGTACAACATCATCATGCGTTGATTGCATTCGTGGACTGAGTATTCATCTAGTGGTAGAGGGAAATGTGTCACATACTGCATGTGTCTGGAAGGTCCTTTGGGTTGGTTTGAATTTTGAAGAGATTCACCTACACTGGGTATGTTGATGTCACCTTTATCTGACTTGGTAGACTTTACTGAGGCTAGAAAGAAAATTTAAAGAGCTAAACTATAATGCAGTTCAAAATAAGGCTGAAAAGAAATGAATGGAGTTTTACGTCCTACTTTTCTGCACCATGTGGGCTATTGAAGCAGCCAACGCCATGCAGTGTACAATGGGTATAAAAATAAAATATAATGTAAATTACCTGGAGGATCCGGACTAGATTTAGGCTCGTACTTCACAGAACCAATCAGATTAGTAAAATCATTCTCCATATTATCTATACTAATATCAATTTTAATATCATCTTGGGGCTAAAAAAAAATATTAACATCAAATCAGAAATAGTTTTATATTGCCCAATTCCCTCATTGACCTTAGTTTTGTACATCCTTGTCGAAAAAATCACCAAATTTGACCTACCTCATGTTTTATACTGTAACTCTCTGTTAGACTTTTAACACTACCAAGATCTAAACTATCATTAAATGGTACGATAGGAGCTGGGGTTCTCATCAATTCACCTCGTGATATCAAGGTACACATATAGGCATCATGAGAGAAGACATCATGTCTGGTGAGTTCACAGAATAAATGAATCAGGTTTTTAAATGCAAGGCTGTTTTCTTCTGATGGGTTGTCCTCTGAAAAAAGAATGAAAGGATTAAAATCAACCCATTCATCATGGCAGAGGACCAACTGCAGCCAATCAGCATGGAGGTTTGTCAACTCAAGCTCCCATTTTGGGGAGTTCATTTAGTACTTTAAAGGATAGGACCTATTTTTGCTGTTTATATCACTGCCTCTTTGAAAATTTGAAAAAATTGCAATGCCAATGGCAGCACGCAAATCCCCAAAAATATATACCCATATCGTGATATTTTGATGCTTAATATTGTGATATCCACTTGAACCAATATCACCCACCCAAAAAGTCATAAATATAATTAGTTATTACCTAAGACAGGAGCTGATGTATCTAAGAAATCCATTAATAAATGTTGAAAGACTGGAATACTAGGTGTGACCATTGTATCTGAACCACTAGAATCTTTATCATCTCCCATATCATTATCACCATATTTCTAGTAATATGAAACAATAACATTTAATAAAAAAAGAAAATGCAATGCTAGGTAAAGACTTCTAAAGTATGCTATTTATATCTATGTATCTACTTGATCAAACTATATTTTGTTGGTGACCACTTGAAACCTCGTATGATGCGAAATTACTTTTCGAGAAAAATGCAAAAAACAATTTGTACGCGTATCAAGTTAAAATCTTTTTATTTGATCTTTTTGCCGCTATATGTGGTTTTCATTCTTTTTTGTTTTCATCCGCAGAAAAGGAACATTGAACCTGGTATAATATAATATTTTACAAGGTTTTAAATCTAACTGTTTATATACATGTTATTTAATTAGTGCTTTTTCAAGCTAAGAAAAAGAGGTTTCGATCAAAAGATCCGCAATTTTACAGCTTTCAAACGGTACTAAAAAGTCAAAATGACCAAATATGGCATATACAAGGTTCCAAGCGGTCACCCAGAGTATACTGCTAAGTATCTAGAATTATGCGCTTGTTTTGCTCAGATCCGTACAGTAGTTTTCTTACACCTACCAAAAAACAAAACAAACTTTAAAAGTTTACATAAACCTTTCAAATAATTTTGGCGATAAAAAATTAACGGCAGGATTAATTGATTAAAGTCTTGAGTAAAATCAAACAAGTTTGATAATTGTCTGCAAGGCAGATCGTCATCATCCAATCAGATTCATTTTCCTTTCAATTGCATTCTCTGCACATGATCGACATGATGGAAAATGTGTGCTTTTTACGCCTAATTCTTTAATTTTCATAATATATCAGTATATACATACCTCACTACGTATTTCTGATTGTCGACGTTCTAGTAGTTTAGCTACTACTATAGCTCTATGATCACCACAACGTCTAGTACTAACAGCTAGATCTAATAACAATCTTATAACAGAATCATCAGTAGGTACAGACTGAAAATAATACATCTAAATGATTAATCAATATTTTATTTTAATCATCAGACTTATATAAGTAACAACTTATGATCAAATCATAACCACAATCCAATTTTTGGTCACCAGGGAAAATAAAGGGCTTAATGTAACTTTACAATGAAGAGTTCCACTTATCACCAATAGGACCATTCTTGCTCAATTTGCCAATATGTTTGTCAAAAGTATGATCTTTCTTGCATCAAATTTTTCTCGTAAGATTTTATGAGAAATGACGACCCTGTCTCCCATTCCCTTACCTCATTACTGTCTTGATTCTGAGTGCAAGCAAATATTTTATTATATAATGAATCCATATTGTTAGCATTGTCTACCAAATCAAATTTATGTCTATCAAATAAGTCTAGCACTGTTAACACTTTAGATATTGTAGCACCTACAAAATAGTACACAGAGTTGATTGATTAATAATTCAACTACAGTATGTTCTTTTTCTGGAGCAAAAGAAAATCATTCGTTGATGGAATATTGTGCAGAGTTATCATGTGGGCCTGAGTAAGCTACAATCAGGTGTCTGCATTTTGCCAACTGTTCAAAGTGGCTATCATACTGCTCTTTTTGGGTTTTGCTATCCCACAACTCGTTATGTTATCAAGAAACTTGATAGGCTATAATTGGTTAAATATAGCGTCTTTAGAACAGGACTGTGGTAGAAAATTTGTTAGATTACAATGGAGACCACAAATATCCGCAAAAAAATCCAAGCAAAATCATATATATATCAAATTGGCTATTACTATAATCCTATGAAAATATATTGAAATATGTTAATCTAATGTTCGTACCTTTTCCTGTAGCTGATTGTTGACATTTATCTGAAGACCATCTTGCTTCAGCCATTCTACCTCTTTGTTTAATCTGTTGTTCACACATTCTAATTTGATTACGACACTGTAAAAATAACCATACAGTTTCAATTAATAACTTGTGGCACCAATGACTCAAAGACATACAACGAATCAGACACATATCATGACTCAAACAAATACTATGAATCAGACACATACTATGAATCAGACACATACTATGAATCAAACACATGCCATGACTCAAACACATACCATGAATCAAACACATTCCATGACACAAACACATACCATGAATCAAACACATACCATGAATCAACCACATACCATGACACAAACAAATACTATGAATCAGACACATACTATGAATCAAACACATGCCATGACTCAAACACATACCATAATCAAACACA